AAGTCCCACCTCTTAGAGCTCTGACTTATAGTCATAGGATCGAGTTTTTTTTCCTTTAGTCTTAAGGTTACCGAGGTCCCTGTGGATGGTGCATTTATGGTTTATTGATTGGAGATCTCAGGACGTGTTGAGTATACTACCTTCATGACCGCGTAGACTCAGGTTCCTAGTGGCTTGGGATGACGAGTCTGTGGTACGTTGAGCTAGTTACCTATACCTCGTAGGATCACTCCTCCCTTCCTTTCACTACCCCTATTGAGCCCTCTTACTCCTTGACTTTTTTAATATCGCTTTGATGCCCCGATATCGATAAGCTGTCACTCGTTTGGGATACGACGATTTATCCTCTACCCTTAGGACCCGGATGTACTTTGATGTATTGGGATACCACCCAATAGTGTGATTTTGGTTATTATGTGGGCTCCATGTGCTGATGTGCCTCTCCCCACTTGAGACATGAGAAACTCACTCTCTACCTGATACCTTAGCGTGAGCTTTGAAGTATCGAGGTTTTCCCACACAAAATAACACTCCTTTGATATCCTATTTCCCTTATATCAAAAGTACTTCTGGGTATTTCACATGATGTAATTAACCAAGTGGGATACATCCTCTTGGGACACTTTTGGCCCCAAAACAAAAATTTTCTTTTTGGTTCTTTGTTGATGGGTGCCTTATGGAGGGATTCTCTTCGTAGATGTCTTGTTTCAAGGTATTTCGATCCAATCTTGTTTGGGCGTATACTCTCGACCCATCATATGAGGATTATCTATATATAAGCCTTCCATCTCTTTTATGTTTTTTTATTATTTGTCTATTTATTGTCGTATAACCTTTTTTTATTTTATGTCACTCCTCTTCAAATTATTTATATGATTTAGGAGAGAGATTTATTCGAATAGGGGAAGTATACAAGGACACATAAATAGACAAGCTGACGACTCTGATGTCAAAAAAGAGCCGAGAAAAATATCAGCATCATGATTTTGTATCTAATTACTCATATTCATTAACAATTATACCAAAGATAATTTATTCTCTCAAAATTGAGGATCATAAGTGAATACAGATAGGTCAGTTGGTCATGGGTTTCTACTCCACTGATTATTCTAATTTCTTAAGAAATTAAGTTGGTTGTACGTAATGTTTGTTTTCTATATTTTTATTATTGCTCCAGCTGAAATTAGGGTGATTCCTCTATATAGGATTATATGTGTTGGAGTAGGGGTTGTTATCTCTATTATTAATAACATTCATAGATTCCACAGAAGTGTTAAAAATATCCATTAGTTGTTCATTAGCATTATCTTCTATTACAAGTAATTTCGTTGCTAGGTCTATGCCTAAATTATCTATTTTTCTCAAAATAGTGGCTAGTTATGAAGTTGGAGCAGCTAAGAAATTCGTGTTATGGACACTAGCTACTTTCCTAAGATTCGTTCTCTTAGTAGACCATTATAAATTATTGATAGTCATCTTTGATTAATGAATGAGCCTCCTCAAATGGTTTGGACATAAGGAAGCCCCTAACTACAACATCTATAATTTACCTTAATGATCCCACTAGCTCATTATAAAATGTTTGAATGATAAGCCAGTAATATAGGGTATGGTGTGGGCACTTCTTAAGTAATTTTTGAATCTCTCAGAAGCTTCATAAATTGATTATTCATGTAGTTGGGTAAATAATTTGACATTTTATTTTGAAGTTTGACAGTTTTGAATGCAAGGAAATATATGACCAGTAATTTAAGTTTTTCTGAGTGGTATATGGTCTTAGTGCTAAGAAGTTTAGCTGCATCTTGATTTTATTTTAAGTGAGAAAAGGAATAGCCTTAGTCTAATGACATAGTTGGAAGCACTATCATACCTAGAGGTGGCACATAATTCTAAGAAACTAGCCAAGAAAATATTAGGTTTTCTATGGGTGACCCTTTAAATTGGTTGTTACAAACCACATTTGAGTTCAAAGGAGTTGACTTCTATGACAAGATTATTGTTACTAAAATTAATTTTCTCTATCGTTAGGTTGGTATACTCCCCGAGTGGTTAGGCATGTTATTCTCTTTTTGAGAAAATTTTACTATTGCTAAATGTTTACCTTTAAATTTTGAGATTTTTCATTTTTTTTTCGGGTCAAAGTACGCTAAATCTACAGTTCTGGACTTTCACATGCAAACCTAGAACTATCAAGTGAGTGATTCTAAATCTAACAAAATAGTAACACACACGAATATGCATACAAAAAGACAAATATGAATATATGCAAAATAATAAAATCAGGAATCATGAAACAAGTTTTTTTTTATTTTCTAACATAGAAAATAATAAATATAATATGATAAAAAATTACTACACAATAAGTTTCAAGTCTAAACCTTAATGGTTCAACTAAAATTTCCCTAAAAAAGAAAATATAACATCGTTTCCTGATAACAATGCAAAATAATTTAAAGTTAACATCCTTAATTTTTGTAAGAATTTGAAACCTACGAACTAATACATAATATTTTAATCAGGCGAGGAAAGCTCTTTTGAATTGGACCTAGCAACTTAGCCATATCCATATTACTCTAATAGTATTGACAGCTAGAAATAATATTATTACTTAGCCCCTTTCGGTGGCCATAAGAAATGTTTGCATTTCATATTACAGTTAGTTCCCTATCCATGCAAAAACTCCTATATTTCTGTGCTTTCCTATTTGGTTGTACTATTTTAGTAGTAGTATTTATATTCTCCTAAAAAAGTGTATGGTAACCTAATTGTTTCACTAGCTTACTTTCGTAGTACTAGATCACAACACATCTTAACATCCTAAGTGTCTAGTGTAGAAGTAAATTACAAGAAAAAGGTTAACATATCAACATTCTACTATTCATAAATCAATCATAATAGAACGATAGTACTAACAGTAGTAGGTTACCAACTCCAGGGAGTGAGAAAATTAGCTACTACTCATTTGACAGAAACACGATAAGGAATTTAATTCAAAACCAAAGAAAATACAAGTTAGAACAATCTCGTCACGATACTCCCCTAAATTATAAGAGTTTACAACAAATCCACTGTGATTTTTCCCTTCGAGTACACAATATGCTCGATCTCACTAACCAACACTCGACCTCACTTAAGAGAACACTCGCTCACACTCACAACACTACCACAAATTCCTTATTTGAAATGCTTCGACTGCTCCTAAGTATTCTTCGACAACACCTTTTGCTAAGGCTTTTCTCTTCTTTTCCCTTTCAATCCCTTATCCTCCAAAAGCCTCAATGTCTCCTTAGTGTTTCACCAATTTAAGTCATTGTCACAAAACGATGCAAATTTAGATGTTAGAACCGTAATCATGTGCATACGGGTGCTTGGGAGCCCAAGACTAGAGCTTGCGCGCTGGTTCAACTTGTTATGAGTCTGCTTCATCTCCATTGCACCCTAAGTGCCTAATCTCCTGTACACTACATATATAATCACAAATATCATAGAAAAGTATAAAAAAAGACACAAATAATATAAAAATAATGCACAAATATCATGCACATTTGATACACATCAATAACTCTATTCAACAACTGGTTACAACCGTCGTATTTAGAATACAATGACTTTAATTATGTATTTTACTTTCATATTGTGGACCTATGCACCTACAATCATTGTCAGTTACTTTCGCTAGGCAAAACCCCATTGTTTTTTCCCTTTCTATGATTATTATTATATTGAGGCAGTCAAAAAATAGAATGAATATTAAAGTCACTATTATATCTGCCAAAAAAAAATGGAAATCTTGAATGAGCCGAATTTTAAGCAGGGAAAAACATGGGCTTTTTATTACGTAATTTATTAGCTAATTAGAAATAAATTTCATATGGCATGCCTATTTTTTTTATCCACGAGTACAGCGCCAAAAAAAGTCCCCAACTAATTACATAGGACAGTTCTAGTCCAAGACTTTAAAAAACTAGCTCAAAACTTTAATATATATATATATACACTAAAGGAATGGTCAAAGGCTATGATACGAGCCCTGGTCATCCCTCAGAATCGAATCCCAGGCTAGACGAGATTTACAACTTACAATCATATGTGACATAAGAAAATAATGCATACTTTTTAGAAGTGAAATACAATTTTTCATGCATAAGTTTATCACCCCGAAGCGCTATAAGTGTAAATATGATAATTTAGAAAACTGTTTTGGTATTTATGTAAACTTCACTACTTAAAAATTTCGCTTGTAGAATGTATAATTTTAATCAAAATTGTTGCAATACCAGAAGAAAAAAACATTGCTCTTTATCCCAAATTAATTCCAGATTTTCAGTCAACTTGATATAAAAAAACTATATCAAAATATCATGAGCAAAGTTTTTTCCAAGATAAGTAAAGTTAAAATTTGTTTGCATTTTTCTAACATCCCAATACACCAAATAAACACATTCAATAATAAAAGATTTAATTCATTTTAAGATATCTAAATTATCTATCACAGATCCCACATTGATGAGTGCCTCATTTAAAAATATAAGGAAGATTTACATACATGCCAATCATTTCCTATGTATTTACACATCTAACACCTAAACTTCAATTTTTACATACATACCACCTCACCTATGCCTGAAAATGTACATACATTTCACTTCTTAAAAGTTAAAATGCTAATATTATTCATGTGACATATAAGATTTTAGCAATACAAAATATAAAAATTAAAACTTAGATATTATATATGTAATTATATAGGAATTAGGTGGTATGTATGTAAATGCACTTAAATATAAATGTACCATTTATTTAGCATTACAATACAATCTTACTGATCAACCCTCTAGTGGTACCACTTTGTTCGTCCTGAATAAGCTGGCTAATAAACCCCAATAAGATTTAAATGCTTACCAATTAATTCCTACATATTTACATATATAACAACTAAACCTTAATTTTTACATATATATATATATACCACCTTACCTGTGCTTACCTTCTGTAACATGAAAAATTTGGGTGGTATAAATGTAAGAAGTTTAGGCTTTGGATTGGTAAATACGTAGGAATGGTGTGGTGCGTATTCCTCAAACTTCCATAAACCCAATTGTCATAGTTCCTTTCTGAACATTCTAAGCCTCATTAAAGGATCAATAAATGAGCGTTTACATAGACTGGGCACTTGCAACCTGACATCACCAAGCATTTCCATGATTTACCGTTAAGATGAGAATGATGAAAGGAATAAGGCAAGTGACATTTCCCCATAATGAACGCTCCCAGCCACGTGCATATCGCATTCTTTTCTGTCATATTTAGGCCCTGCAAGGAAGCAAATAACTCAGGCCAGGTTACCCTTTTACCTATTTCTCATGAGTAGATATACAACAAATCATAAAATTTCATTATGATCTCAGGTTTGTAGTTTTACAATTTCATACAAACAATCTTAGTTATTTAATAAATTTATGGGCTCGTGTAACTTTGAAAAATGATATATCTTTAAATTTGAAAGAATTGCATATTTATCCCTCAATACTTACATGTTTACAAAACTAACACTTGTGCAGGGATCAAAGCATTAAAAATATGACAATAGCAAAGAAGTATGGGTGACGATCATAGAAATTTTGCTCTTGCAAGATGACAATCAACATAATCACTGAATTAGTAACAAAAAGCAACAATGATGTATAGTTAAGCCCAGTAAATAATGACTTAAGAGCTATCCTAAGAAAATAATTCAATGTAATATTGGCATTTGCATGGCTTAATTGATAGCTTCAAAAATATGAATGGTGTAAAAATATCCAATAACCAGTAAGAAAAACATAAAATTACATATAAACCGCAAATCTCGTTGGTTATTTCGTCTGTGTTAAAAATTGCAAATGAAATAGAGAAGAAGGAAAAGAGAAGAGACAATGGAAAAGTGGCTAGGGTTTCAATTGTATCAAACACCACATTACAAGAGTAAAAGATAAATAAATATACAATAAGCAATAAGATTAAACTACCCTTAAGTAGGGTAGAATAATAGAAATATAAAAACTATAATATCTAACAATTTCATCTAATGTATCTTCATATTATTTTCATAACATATGGCTAGAACTATAATTACATTAATGCTTTATAAAAAAAAAATTATTATTTGGCACGAATCTCGAGATATTTTTTAAAAAGAAACACTCCAAATTTAATTAAAGATCATCTAGGGCCTCAATTTCAGAGTTTATAGTATAACTGGTCGTCTTTACAAAAAAAAAAAACCCCAACAATACCAAAATGTGTTCAATCTAAGTTCAATAAAGTCCAGATCAAGCTATTAAAGCATATTTGAAGGCTTCAGATCTTAATGGAATGATCAAATGAAAGTTGACATACACATAGTCCAATCGAGTGTCTCGACGAGAGGAATCCAACAAGTCTAAGCTCTTTTAATTCTGAGGTCATCAATGCCATCAAATCATTAAAAAAAAACCTATAATCAAGGGGGATATAGGTCGTTCGATCAGGAGGTAATGGAGTTATTCGCAAAAGAACCAAAATGTCACTCCCCATAGGCTATAAATAAACGCACTCTTCATTTGGGATTGAGGGAATTCCAGTGTTGTTTAGGATTGAAGGCCGGAAGTTATCAGTGTTGTTTAGGATTGAAGACCCGAAGATAACTTCTGGCCTCCGTAGCCGCCAACTATCATTGACTATCACTCACCGTCGTCAGCCACCCCTTTTGTAACTTCGTATTTGAAATATCATAGTAAAAAATAACGTCATATTGAAGATCCAACGATAATTTTGGGCAAATTTTTTCAGACTCCTGATATTTTACGTAAGTTATACATACAAGTATTGTAACTGGCCTAAAATTGTAAACCTGAGATTCCAATTAAGAGAAAAGTGTGTATCTTTGTAATTACACACTTATAGTTGATTACTTTAACTGGGCAAGGCCCTGTAATTTTTTCCTTTTTCAGGATTTTCCACATTAAAAATTTCGATGTCTTCTCCCACTATTCTTTAATTATTTGTGTGTGTATTAGAGCTTCATGTAACTCTAAGATACTAATTTATCACTCTACAGTCATAAATTTTCTGACATGCAACAAATGATTATTGATACATCTAATAAAAAAATCAACACCCTTAATGACAAATTTTATTAGAAATATTGAAAGATGGTGCACTTATTAAATCATTAAATGAGGATTAAAAAAAAAAGAAACTTAAGACTCACATTTTTATAATATCTATATTGATATAATCTGTCTCCACTTTTAAATAGTGTATCATGCGTAGATCTAAATATAGAAACTTCCAATTAAATAAGTTGAATCTTATTGCATTTCATTACTTGCATTTATTTCTATCAAAAGAAAAATATCTTCCCAAAGTAAATAGGTTGCCAAACATATGATATAACTAAAACATTTAATTGACTTTGATGTAACCTGGAACTCACATGAACTTCATTTACAGCTAATAAAATTTGATTGGTGGACATCAGCATATCCAATTGTCGGTAAGAAAACGTGAAATTAATCTTCATATAAGTTGTAGATCTCGTTACTCATCCTAATTGGTTATATTCACATCATTTTCATAGTATATAGCTAGAACTATAACATCATCACGACCAATTAATAGATTTATAAAAGGTTTAGCCCTGTTAGTGATAATTTTATTGGAAATATTGAAAAGATGTGATGAGCTATTCAAGCTCTAATAAAGAATATCAAATATAGGAATTTTCACAATTTTGCATTCCAATGATTTTTACATTGATATCGGCTATGTCTTCATTTCTAATGCCTATAGGCTAAGATGATCTTTTCACTAAAACACTAAAGCTGCGAGTTCAGCTCAATTTTTTTGATGGAAAATTTAAAATGGCAACAATCAAATTATCATATGGGCTAAAAAATATATATATATTTGAAGAAAAAATTTCATCTCCACAACATTGTGGGCAAACTAATGAACAACTTTTAAACTTAAGGAAAAAAATGCATTAGTGTGGTGAAATACTTCAGCAATATTGCAGAAATACATGGAATGCGTTGTTAGAAAAATTATGAATTAATGATTAATGGCTTCACATCCATTTACAATTTAAGTGAAAACATCAAGAAAGAAATAAAACTTTATCATCATGATAGAAGTAAAGAGGCAGTACTCTAAATCATAAGAATTAAACCGGATTCTACATGCATACCAATCAATTCTTATGTAATTACATTTATAATACCTAAACGTTTACATATATGCCACTTTACCGATGCATGAGAAGCTCTATTTCACTTTTTAAAAGTTAAAATGACAATAATTTTTATGTAATATGAAAGATTTGAATGTTATAACTGTAAAAAGCAATGTTAGGCGTTAGATATGTAAATACAGAAGAATTAGGTAGTATGTATGTAAATACACCAAAATTACATTATAACTTAAATATACTACTGCTACTTCTACTGATATACTCCTTGATTACATCATAATTGAATCTGCCTAATGCACCAATACCAACACTTAACGAAATCTCCCTCCCTCTGATGTTACACTAGACTTAGAAAGAGTTATCTAGCCAAAAATCGCATGCTGTCGTGCATTTTATCAGCTCTAAGAATGTTGGTTCTCTTAGAATTTCAAGCTAAGCATAATTACTAGTCAACATTAAATATAATAAATCACCTCTGTTCAACAGGCCATTATTTTGGTTCATGCTTCATTTTGTACCTCTTTTTTTATTACCTGATATATTTTAAGGAGCATGTTGAACTACAATAGTAATTAATCTAATCCAAGACAACTACAATATGAACATAAAAGCTCTTTAAGAAAATAATTTACTTTCCCTTCATGACCTTGAAAAGCTTAATTCAGGAAAATTAAATTTATTTATTTGCCTGCAAATGAGTTTACTTCCACTAGCTCCACCATTAAACAAGATGTAGATCTCAATTTAAAATTAGTAATTGCCTGGTAACTTGAAATTTAACAGATTTAATACATGTTACGAATGCAACATATATTGTTGCATAATCCTTGATTATATACAAGAGTACATTTTGATTATATTAAAAGAATTGCCATAGAAAATGAAAGTTTGTATGCCATGACTATTCATCGCACTGCTTGGGGTTAACATAAAGGATATTACATCTTTGTACGTATATCCTAAACACTGCTTGCACCCCACGTACTTTATATTATTTATCAAAGCTAAGGGTGTCAACAATTGATCCCACAAACCAACTCGACTCGAAAAAACTGAGTTCGGGTTGATCCGAATAATTCATCGCACAATTTGGATGAAATAAAGGAATCCTAGCCCATTTAATCTTTCAGGTCATATTCAGAATGATCCGCCAACCTGAAAATGACCCCAAAAATCTGAATGGACGCAATATCGGCTAGTGAAACTGAAAATGACCCAAGATTGACTCAAAATTGACCTGAATTTGACTTGAAAAGCTATTATACTTTACGTTAAATGTATAGTAAAAGTCAGATTCAGATTAACGGGTTGAAGGCAGGCAAGTTTGGGTTGAACTTTCTAACCCATTTAAAATTTGGGTTGGGTTCAGGCAAGCAAAGTTGTGTTGGGTCAATTTCGAGTCAAACCCAAACCTGACCTGCAAACCCAATTTGACACTTAATCAAAGCCTTTGAGCAATATTATATTATTAGAAAGCTAGAAACTCATATATATATGCCTATTTCATCTATTGACATGATTTTTAGTTCTACTTTCTATATTAAAAATCTATTACCTAATTAAGTTATTTTTGAGACTCGGATATTTTATATTGATACTTTCGAAGGTTGATATTTTAATTTTTCAATAGTAGCACAAGCACTGATACTTACAAATAAACTTGGTGTTTCTTTAGGATCATATACTTGTCCACTTTGTTGAAAGTATCATCCATGGTTTGATGATCCATACATGATAGAGAATGATACTTGGGTGTACTATAACATCCACTCCCCAAAAGTTGAGTGTTTTATAGCCTGGTAAATTGAAGCAAACATACATTCTAAAATTTTATTTTATACAGAATATTAATATTATTTTATGCTCTCTAAATTCATTCATTTATTAAAATTATTATAATGAATATAAGTAAACTGATTAATAATTTGCTAGTAATTTATCGATTATTTGTTTTCCATTAATGGTAGTATAATAGTTTGTTAATAATTTATTTGCTTTATAGTAGCAATGTTCACAATTTTTTGTTTATTATTATTTTATCCATGCCTATAAAAGCTTTAAACAATGAAACATAGTTTATGTCATGAAAAAATAACTCCAA